ATTCTTTGTATCCCCTGTCCTCTATCTTTCTCCTAGGTGTCTTCCTGACACACAATGAATATCCCGTGGGTAGAGGCACTTTATTCTGTATGTTTGGTGTTTTGATTATTGTGTGCTAAGGGTGTTTGGTTGTTTTTTTCTTGGATTTCTTTGTTTTCATTAAAAGGTTTATTTCTTGGCATTTTTGGATTGTCTTTTCCTCCATTTCTTGAATATTTTGGTTGTTTTTCTTCTATTTCATTAAGGTAATTTTCATTTCCTCTATCATTTTCACAGAGTTGTTTTTAGGGTGGTTCTCCTTTGTTTCATCTGTGCTAGGATGTTCAGGTCTTGCTATTGTGAAGTCTCTAGACTCTAGTGGAATCATGTTGATCTTTCTGTTGTTGAGTGTGTTCATTTTTATTATTTTAATTTTAAATAGCTTGCTTCACATGTCGATCCCAGTTCCCTCTCTCTCCCCTCCTCCCGCACCTCCCACCATCCCCCCACCCTCCCACCCTATTGCCACTTCCTTCCACATAGGGGATATCTAGAGTCTGTCATTTCACTCAGGGCAGGGTCCAGGCACTCCCTTAAGAGTCCAGGCTGAGAGAGCATCCCTCTTGGTGTTATGGACACACAAAGTCTGTTTGTATGCCAGGGATAAACACTGATCCACTGCCAAGGTCCTCATAGGTTACCCTGGCCTCCTCACTGATTCTCACACTCAGAGGTCTGGATCAGTTCCATGCTGGCCTCTCGGCTGTCGGTATGGGGTCCAAGCAATCTCCCCAGTTCAGATCAGCTGTCTCTGCTGGTTTTGCCAGCCCATTCTCTGCCAATTCGCTCATCGCTCCTCTCTGTCACTGGGTTCCATGAGTTCAGTTCAGTGTTTAATTGTGGGTATTTGCCTCTGCTTCTATCAGTCACTGGATGAAGGCTCCAGGATGGTTATAGACATCAAGTTCCTTATCAGAAATGGGCCTTCAAGGTGGTCTCTCCACTATTGTTTAGATTGCCAGCTGCTGTCATCCCTTTAGATCACTAGAAGTCTCACTAGTGCCAGATCTGTCTTCTAACCTATGACTCCCTCTTCCCCCTATTCTCCGCCCCCACTCAACCTTCCTGTTCTCCCATGACCTACTCTCTCTTCCTCTTCTCCCCCTCTCTTCTTCCCAGCTCCCATTCCCCCCAACCGCTCGCCGTGTTCCCTTATACTGTTCTCTTATACTGTTGTCATTCCATCACTTCTTCAAGTGGGAGCTGGTGCAGTCTCTCCCTCTCCTGGTGTGTACAGGTTCAAAGTTCCCTTTGGTGGGTTCAACCAAGTCTAATATTCCAATGGCTCTCCTTTTCCTGTTGTTAGAGGCAGCACTAGCACCAGGATGTTGACAGGTACTGGATGGTCTTGACTGTCAGGATGGGTTCCCCTGGCGTAATCTCCAGGACTCATGGGGTTCTAAGCAGGGCATCAGAAGGCTGGACAGAAACAGGCCCATGCTCTCCTCTTCCTGTGTGTGGAGGTGTTTCTAGCACTGTGATATTGGCAGACTCTGAATGCACCAGAAAGTGTTCCCCAGTGCTCAGTCCCCAGGCCTCAATTTTGTTTCCTTGAGTACTCTTCATACTGAATTTCACTGTGGCTGTACCAGGTTGCAGTCTCTCCAGCAGCATATACTGCTTGCTGTTTCTGTTCTGTCTTGCTGTCATTTATAGTCCTTTTCATAATTTTTTTAAATTTGTTGTTCAAATGAAGTGATTTTCTTATGATTTTGTTTGTTCTGTTTCATGATCAAAAATGAGAAGCATCCACAAGTCACAAACGATCTTGTAGATATCACTAACCAATTTCCAAAGAATACAGATTATTGATTATCTGGAACTCTTTATTTTCTACTGTATGCATTTATTTAGAAGAGATTGGATCAGGTATTAATGTGTTTCCCACTGGCATATTGAGGAAAGTGGTCCTGAAATTACCATTAAGGTTTTGCCTTGGTGAAGTTGTGTTCCCCATGGGGTACAGAAGTCATCTTTAACTTGTTGGAATAGTTGGAAGAACTATTGTTCTTCCTCAACATTTCCAGGTAATTTTCTAAGGTGTTCCAAAGATAGGTAACCTACAAGTAGGCTTTTTTTGCATTTTAGGTTATACTACAGTATTTGAAGATTGTGTGTCTTTTACACCACAATAAATGGCAAAATTCTGTATCCAGTTTGTTGATTTTGAGATGAATTATGACTTTCCTGGGCTTTCATTTATAGTGGTGTCTAAGTAAGTTAGTGCTGTGTCCTATGAGCTCAATTCATCAACATCAGACTTCCTGATGCTTATCAGAAATCATTTAACATTTTGTACATGAAAAGTAGGTGTTCAATTTATATAAGCAATTGCAAAGTAAAAGGGAAATGCATGTTACTTAAATGCATATATAATATTCAATTATGATCTTGTTAAATGCGAAAACCTTAACAGCAGATAGATAATTACTTTGCTTTGGATATGAAATGCCATGAACTTGCTTGTATCCACTTGTATCATAACACACAATTTTGAAATATTGTCTCCATGCATATGTATCCTAAAACTTATGTCCCAGGCTGGCCTCAAATGCATAAATTTCCTGTTTATTTCTCTCTAGTTCTTGGGTTACAGATGTGATTCTCACCTTCTTGCCATGATGTTTTATTTATTTATTTATTTATTTATTTATTTATTTATTTATTTTTCTGCTTCCTGTACTTTATATGTAATACTGGGTTTATAATTTAGTTATCATATACACTTCCAGATGTCACCAGTTCTAAAGTACAGGCTCATTCCATGATTATTGTTATTTGTACTGATATGCATTCTTTTAAATTTATACTTAAATAAAAAGCAATCTTATTTTACAACCAGTCCCGGTTCCCTCTGCCTCCTGTCCTCCCATTCTCCCAGAAATGCCATATCCTACCCCCATCCACTCCTCAGAGAGGGTGACAACTCCCATCAAAATCTGTCACATCATTGGGGGCAGGATGTATGTCCTCCCCCACTTATCTAGGATGAGAGAGTATCCCTCCACAGGGAATGTGCTCCCAAGGATCATTCATGAACTAGGGATAAGTACTGGTTCCACTGCCAGAGGCCCCACAGACTGCTCAGTCCTCCAAACTAGTACCCACATTCAGGGGGCCTGGTTTGGTTTTATGCTGGTTCCCCAGCATGTTAGACTAGTGTCTGTGAGCTCCCACTTGTTAATATCAGCTGTTTTGTTGATATCCCCAGCATGGACTTGACACATTCTTACTCGACATTTTTTTCTCCTTTGGATATCAAGAATGTCTGATGCTGTCTGTTGGTCTTCTTAAAGTTGTTTGATTTAGGATATCTGTGCCCCCTTTTGGAGAGAATTTTACCTGTTCACTCAGTCAGCAAGAATATTTTTATAATCATTTTTAAATTTAAAAACCATATTTTCTCATTTCTATAACAATCTCAGATCCCACTACCTCCCCTTTTCCTACTCCATACTGCATCTCCCACCTACTCCTCAGAGATGGTGAGGTTTCCCATGGGGAGTCAAGGAAATCTAACATCTCTTTGAGTCAGGACCAAGCCACCCCCATATCTAGGTCAAGCAAGGTATTTCTCCAAAGAGGATATGCTCTAAAAAGCCAGTTCAAGCTTTTGTTCCATTGCAAGTGGTTCCATATGCTGATAAAGCCACACAACTGTCACCACATTCAGAGGACCTAGTTTGCTCGTATTCAGGTCCCCCCATTTTCATTCTGCAGTCATTGAGCTGTCACTAGCTCACACCATCTGTTTCTGGTTTTTACCTCTTGCTCATGTTCTTGCTCCTCTCTCTATTCAAGTGGACACTGGGAGCTTGGCCTAGCGCTTAACTGTGGATCTCTGCATCTGCTTCCACAACTTGCTGGATGGCATTTCTATGATGATAATACAGGAAGTCATCAATTTAATTATAGGGGAAGGCCAGCTCTGGCACACTGTCAACTAATGCTTAGGGGTCTTATCTGGGGTATCTGTGGTCTCCTGAGACTATCTTAATCCAGTTTCCATACTGCTAATTTGTAAATTATCCTAGAATATGGATTTCTGAGAAAAACACTCTCAGTGTTGCTTTACATTCACAAGTTCTTGAACAAATGCAGTTTCTTGTATTCCTCTTCCATTTCCCCAAAATTCAATCCCTCTTTCAGTTCCTGAAGTTGTGTGGAGGATACTTGCTAGTGTTTATGTTTACCTTTGCTGTGAGATGAACGCTTCTCTGATCCAGGGATTAAATGGAAGATCCCCAGGATTTTCTCAGAGCTAATTCTGGGCTCCTCTTTGTATTTCTGCACAATGTTTATTTTGGAAACTGGAGACCAAATGTCTGAGGAAGTATTACCTTTCCTCAATATAAGATAGGCTTTGAAGATGGAAGATAATGGCCGGGCGGTAGTGGCACACGCCTTTAATCCCAGCACTCGGGAGGCAGAGGCAGGTGGATCTCTGTGAGTTCGAGGCCAGGCTGGACCAACAGCATCCAGAACAATACAGAGAAACCCTGTCTCGTAAAACAAACAAACAAAAAAAGATGGAAGATAATGAACAAATTCTTACCAAGTTTCTCTCTATGCCTCTTTCTCTGTTTCTCTCTCCATCTCTCTCTCTCCCTCTATTTCTTTCTCTCTATATCTCTTCTCCATGTATTTCTTTGTTTCCTCTCCCCCATGCTTGTTTCTTTTATTGAATTTTTCTTCCTTTTGTTGTTGTGATTTATATCAGCATATCTTAACATTTTCTCAGGACTCTCATCTGAGATAGCTCTTCTACAGTTTCTGCAAAATCAGCTGATTTTACTATGTCCTAGATTTTAAGCAAATCTGTTGTTAGAGCATAGAGTAGATCTGCTTTAGAGTTGCAAGTTAACATCTTTCACTGATTTCTCATGTTCTCTGTGATTGTACATTTGCCTGCATATAGAACCAGCCACTATACCACAACTGCCCAGGAATCTGCTTTCATATTGCTAACTGCTTTGCATGGAGCCCTGGAGCAAAACCCAGCCGCTCAGAACTTATAAACCAGACTTTTTCAGTGAGAACAGAGTTACATCAGACAGGCAGGGAGAGCAAGATGGAGTCACAGACCCAGGTCCTCATGTCCCTGCTCCTCTGGATATCTGGTGAGTAATTTAAAACCATTATAATATTCTCTGAGTCAATGTGTCAGGGTGTAATGTTGTATATGCTGTAATACTCTGGCAATATGTCATTATAAGGTTATTAATTGACAAGTTTCATGTATTGAATTCTGTGTTTTTTCTTATACATGATCACTGCTATTCTTGATTACAGGTGCATGTGGAGATATTGTGATGACTCAGTCTCCATCTTCCCTGGCTGTGTCAGCAGGAGACAAGGTCACCATCAGCTGCAGGTCCAGTCAGAGTGTCTATTACAGTGGAAACAATAAGAACCTCTTGGCCTGGTACCAGCAGAAACCAGGGCAGTCTCCTAAACTGCTGATCTACTTTGCATCCACTCGGTTCACTGGGGTCCCTGATCGATTCATAGGCAGTGGAGATAGGACAGATTTCACACTCACGATCAGCAATGCTCAGGATGATGATCTAGCACATTATTACTGTCAGCAGGGTATCAGCTTTCCTCACACAGTGCTTCAGCCTCCAACAAAAACCTCCTCTAAGAATCTCACCAGCTGTCTGTACCACACACAGTCCTGTACTTCACACTTCCCCATTCTCCCTGAAGCATTGATGAAAACATATGTAGAGTCTAGCAAATTACAATGGGTTCAGTATCTCTTACGTCTTTTGGTATGAAAAACCTTTATACAAAAATGAAAAGGGAATTCACTATTATTTTTCTATTCTTTATGTAACACAGTAACCCTAACACCATCACTGTATGAACATGAGGGGTTCATCTTCTTATAGTTCTGGAGTTTTGGTGTCCAACATAACATTCTTTGGGCTGAAGTGATGATAATGGCAGACGGAATTTGGTTTAGAAGTGATGGGAAAGTGTTTCCTATTTTTTCTAGATTATGGAGCACTTTCTTATTCTTTTACTGGTGCACATATCTTCTGGTTTTTTAATTCAATAAATTCTTTTAAGTTTTATTTCATTTTAGTTATTTAATTAGTTTCATCTGTGTGCATGCTTGTGGATTTTTCTGGGTATAAATGTGACATGGCATAGTTGTACAAGTCAGAGGACACTTGGAATGGATTGTCTCTGTCATTTACATTCTGGAGATCAAGCTTTGGCTTGATTTCAGGCTTCGTGGCAAGTGGCTTTGTTATCTGAATCATATTGCTGCCCCTTATGATATTTTATTGTTGTATTTCTTAAAAGCAATGTTTTTCTTGTGTATAATATGTTTTGACCAAATGTGCAGATCTTCCATATTTTTACTTCCCTTTCCTGCCACATTTTCATCTCCTAGTCTGTATTTTACTTTTATCTCTCTGTCTCTTTTATACATGTACACACACATTCATATACACATATGCCCATATGCATATATAAATGAATGCACACATAGATACACACATATCCATATATAATCATACCTACACCCATAGAAATACACACACACACGCACACACACACACACACATATATATATATGTACACATACACACCTGAACTGTACATACTTATAATCCACATATGTAGGATACACAAAGGAGGGGAAAATGTGATATTTCTTGCCCTTGTTTCTGGGGCCACATATACCTCTGAGGTCTCCATATCTCATTTCCAGTGATGTACCCTGAGAAACATCCCTTCACTCTAGTTCTAGGTATAATTATGCATGAGCAGATTCTTCTTTCTTGTTTTATATTTCATATCAGTGAATAAAGCTTAATGTTTTGAGAGGGGTATATTTCATCCTACTAAATAAAAAGTCTACTAACTAATAATATCCATATTCTGATGAAGAAATGTATTTAGCACCTATCTTGGAGATATTTTGGGGAGCAAGTGTTTTACAGAGCACATAGAATTGCATGAGATATACAAATACCTTTTTTCATTAATTTTTATTTATCATTTTATGCATGCCACTTTCAGTTCCCTCTCCCACTGCTCCTCCCCTACCCCACGATACTCCCAACCCCTCACCAACATTTCTTCCCCCATCCACTCCCCAGGGAGGGTAAAGGGTTCCATGAGGGATTTTCAGTCTGTGACATCATCCCGGGAAGGGCCTAGGTTCTTCCCCATGTGTCCAGGCTGAGAGAGCATTCCTCCACGTGGTATGGGTTCCCAGAGTCACTCTGTATGCCAGGAATAAACACTGCTTTACTCTCTAAGGTCCCACAGATTGCCAAGGCCTCCTCTCTGTTACCCAGGTTCAGTGGGAGGGATGTCTGGATCAGTCCCATGCTGGTCCCTTAGGCATCATTCTGGGGTCCATGTGTTCCCCCTTGTTTAGGTTTCACCACCCTGATCTTGATTCCTTTGGTCATCACTTCTCTTTATAACTGAGTTCCAAGAGTTCAATTGGTTTCACGGCTGTGGGTTTCTGCCTATGCCTCCATCAGCCACTGGATGAGAGTTCTAATATGGCATATAAGGTAGTCATCATTCTCATTATCATGGGAGGGAATTTAAAATAGACTTAATGCCAGTTGGTGTCATTCTTGTAGATCTGTGAAGATCTCACTAGTGCCAGATCTCGCCTCCAACTTATACTGGCTCCCTCTTTAATGGTATCTCCCATCCTTTTCTCCACTGTACTTACCCTGGCTCTAATTTCCAGCTCTCCTATGTCCTCCTCTCTCACCTCCTCTTTTCTCCCTCTCTTTCTCCCATCTCCTTCTGCCCTCCCTTTCCCCCCATCCAGTTAGTAGATTGCATCCCCTAACCCTTCTCTGGGTTACCATGAATACATCTCTTAGGGTCCTCCCTGCACCCCAGACTCTTCTGGCAGTGGGACTGTGGGTTGGCAATGCCCTGCTCCATGTCTAAAATCTATATGTGAATAAGTACATACCATGCTTGTCTTTTTGTGACTGGGTTAACTCACTCAGCATGGTTTCTTCTAGTGCAATCAATTTGCCTGCAAATTTCAAGATTCCATTTTTTCCCATTGACTAGTACTCCATTGTGTAAATATACCATATTTTCTCATTCCACTCTTCAGTTGAGGACATCTAGGTTCTTTCCAGGTAATGGCTATTACAAATAATGCTGCTATGAACATAGTGGAACAGACATCCTTGTTGTATGAGGGTACTTCTTTTGAGTATATGCTTAAAAGTGCAATTACTGGGTCTTTTGGTAGACTGATTTCCATTTTTCTGAGGAATCTCCGTACTGATGTTCAAAGTGGCTGCACAAGTTGACATTCCCACTAGCACTGGAGAAGTGTACCCCTTTCTCCACATCCTCTCCAGCGTAAACTGTTATTAGCTTTTTGATTTTAGCCATTCTGATGGAAGTGAGATGGTATCTCAGAGTTGCTTTGATTTGCATTTCTCTAATGGCTAAAGATGTTTAGCAGTTTCTCAAGTATCTCTATTGAGAATTCTCTACTCAGTTCTGTACCCCAATTTTTAATTGGATCCTTTGGTGTTCTGGAGACTTGCTTCTGGTGTTCTTTGTAAATTTTGGAGATCAGCCCTCTGTCAGATGTGTTGTTTGTGAATATCTTATCCCATTCTCTGGGCTGTAGTTTTGTCTTGTTGGCTGTGTCCTTTTCTCTTTAGAAGCTCCTCAGTTTCAGGAGGTTCCATTTATTAATTGTCGATCTCAGTGTCTGTGCTACTGGTGTTATTCAGGAAGTGGTCTCCCATACCAATTTGTTTAAGGGTACTTCCCAATTTGTCCTCTAAGAGATTTAGTGTGGCTGGGTTGATGTTGAGGTCTTTGATCCATTTAGACTTAAGTTTTATGAATGGTGATAGATTTGTATCTATCTGCTGTCTTTTACATGCCAACATCCAATTACTCCAGCACCATTTGTAGAAGATGCTTCCTTTTTTCCCATTGTATAGCTTTAGCTTCTTTGTCAAAGATCAGGTGTTCAAAGGTGTGTGAGTTGATATCAGGGTCTTTGATTTGATTCCATTGATCAACCTGTCTGCTTTTGTGCTGTACTAAGCTGTTTTCAGGAGTATAGCTCTAAAAGAGAGCTGGAAGTCAGGGATGGTGATGCCTCCGGAATTTCCTTTATTGTACAGGGTTGCCTTGGCTATCCTGGGTCTTTTGTTTTTTCATATGAAGTTGAGGATTGTCCTTTCAAGGTTGGTAAAAAAATTGTGCTGGTATTTTCATAGGGATTGCACTGAATCTGTAGATTGCTTTTGGTAAGATTGCCATTTTTACTACGTTGATCTTACCTATCCAAGAGCCAGGGAAATCTTTCCATTTTATGGTATCTTCCTTAATTTCTTTCTTTAAAAACTCAAAGTTCTTGTTATACAGATCTTTCACCTGTTTGGTTAGAGTAACCCCAAGATATTTTAAGATGTTTTTAGGTATTGTAAACGGCAATGTTTCTCTGATTTCTTTCTCAGTCCTTTTATCATCTGTATACAGTATGGCTACTGATGTTCTTGAGTTGATCTTGCATCCTGCCACTCTGCTGAAAGTGTTTATCAGCTGTAAGAGTTCCCTGGTAGAGATTTTTCTGTCACTTATGTAAGCTATCATATCATCTGCAATGAGTGAAAGTTTGACTTCTTCCTTTCCAGTGTGTTCAAGCAGGTACAATATTTCAATGGGTGCAATTGTGTCTGGGACACTCTCAAGCACATGGCTGAGACCAGAGGGGACTTACACACATAGAAAGGACCGGAAGACAGAGGTGTGGGCAGTCTCAGGGAGAGCCTTCTGGGAGGGGCAAGTCCTCTCTAGGCACAGAGAACTCCCAGGGAGATGGAGCCAGGGTTGTAGGGAGTTGGGGCTCAGAGCAGGGCCCCCCTCACCTTAAGCACTGAGAAAGGACTGGAAGACACAGGTTTGGACAGACTCAGGGTGATCCTTCCAGGAGGGGCAGGTCCTCTCTAAACAGAGAAAATGCCCAGGGAGATGGAGCCGGGTGATGTAGGGAACTGGGCCTCAGAGCAGGGCCCCCACTTACCTTAAGCACAGGGAAAGGACCACAATTTGCAAATATTTTAAATCTGATTGATTCTCTGAATGATCTGGGCAGTGAACCCCGTAGTATAATTTGCAAGTTTCAAAAAGCCTCAAATAAATCAAAAGAAGTACGTAAACCAACAGATATGAATCATAACACAGAAATAAAGTATCATGAAAAGTCATATAAAAATGATGTCCCCAAAGGATGTCAAAATTCCCTCCAGGACTCAAGTCAAAGATATGAAATAGGGAAAATTTCAGGTGGAGATTTCTAAAACATATTCATAAAATGGTGAGTCACCATAAATTATAGAAACAAAAATTTATTCAGTCAAGGCTTTAGGGGGAAAAGCTATTAATAAATAGGAAAAAATAAGCAAGACAAATAAAGCAACCAGCTCCATGGCAGTAAATGTGAGCAACTCTGCAAGCAAAATTAATTTTCTGGGAGTTAAAATTCAATGTATGAAATTCAACACACAGAACAAAGAAATCACCAGCAATATTAATAAAACAGAAGAAAGTATATGCTGGATGAACGTTAAATTAGAAAAAAACATAGCATTGAAAAATATCATTGGTAAAAGTAAAATTATCATGGCTATAACACAAAAACTTTGTAAAATATGAAGAGATTTATATCAAGGATAATAAGATATTGAAGATATGAAAACCAAGGACATAGCAATCATATTGAATGAAATGAGAAGAGAAAATTTCATAT